AGGGAGATGGTTGGCCAATTGGTGACTGAAATCGATTCTGTTCAATGGGATAGATATGGGTTGGCTAATTTCTTCAGTAAAAAAGTCAGAGAAGCTCAACTGATAACAAAGGCGCCAAGGTCATCCACTAGAATTAGGTATTATGCTAGTTTGTTAGTACTATTGTAACAAATTACCACCAAGTTAGCAGCTAATAACACAAATTCACTCATGCACAGGTCTGGGGGGTCCAACTGGGTCTCATTAGGCTCAAATCAAGGCATCGACCAGGCTGATTTCCTTCCTGGAGGCTCTAGAGGAGAACCTCGGCTTTCCTAACTGTGGAGCCCATGGTCCTTGGCATCCTTCTATTGTCACAGCCAGCCCTGGCCAGCAGGCTTTCTTCACACCACATGGCTTTGCTATTCTATTTTCTGCCACCCTCTTCCACCCCTTTATGGACCCTTGAGATTACGTTTGGTTCCTCTGGGCAAATCAGGATGATCTCCTTATTTTAAAATCAACTGATTAGCAAACTTAATTCCATCTGCTACCATTCCCCTTTGCCATGAGATGCAGCAATATCACAAGTTCTGGAGATCAGCATTGGGCATCCATGGGAGCCCATTATCCTATCTGCTGCAGTCATTTTCTTCTTGGTTTGTTTAATGAAATGGTTTAGAGAATGATCATTTACTGAGACAATTAAAAATGAAACATTTTTTTTTCTTCTAGTTCATTCAATTGAATGCCTCCCTTGCACACTTCTTTACATATGCAGAAGCTCTCCACTTCGTGACCCAGATGTGTTCAAGGGCAGCTCTAGCAATCTGTGAATGGTGATCAGCTGAGAGCCTGAAGACCAAACTGTCCTAGCTGGGCTTGATAGAAACAAACACTGTTATAAGCCTTGATGAACAGTTGCGGTTCAGAAAATCAAGAAATGGCAGTATTCCTTGAGTGTTCACAGTAACAATCTATTTGGGGATAATAATATCCCTTTCAAAATCCATTGCATCTTTGAAATAGGGCCCCTCAAAAGAGGCACACATTCAATTCATAATTTCTTAGCTGCTCAATGTCTTCCAACACCTGGTAACTTTGGAGAAATTCTGTGGCTTGCTGCAAGTAGAGGATTTATATGTATTTTGTACATGAGGTGCAAGTACAGATAGGATTCCCAGGAAGACTAAATCAAGTCTGCATCAATAAGGAAAAGCTCAAAAGAAATCAAGGCACTGCCAACAAAGAGGCCGGTGACACTGCTCAGAAGAAAACATGTCAGCTGTCCCAGGTGTACATCGTCTGGCTTGCAGGCCTGTTGCTTCATAAGCTGTCTCTAGGATGCCCTTCTCTGTATCCTTAAAATCAGTATTCTCATCTTCCTGATTCCCCTGGATCTTTTGTTCGTTTATTTTTGTGCTCTTCCAGTGAACCTGACTATGTTGTCCCTGGTCTTTCCTTTATCATCATCCATTATCATGAAATGTTACAGTTACTCATCCCAACGGTGTTTATCACAATCCCCACTGCCCTTAGCATTCATTTGGTTCTAGTAAGATTCAACCTTTTACTGTACCATGCTCCAAAACACCTATTTTATGTCTTCTTCTTCTTCTTCTTCTTCTTCTTCTTCTTCTTTCTCCTAAACCCTCCAATGACTCCTTCTCCCTTCACTAATGTTCTGGCCTCCTCTCCTCCCAGAAGCATGGCAGCACTGAACTCCTCAGGCCCTCTTTTAAGTTAGATGTGGCAATTTTGCCAGTGATGTGGAAGAAAGGTCAGATATCACTCCAAGGGACAGGATTTAAGAGCCTGGGTGCCAATTTCCTTTTTTCCAGTCTTGGCAAGAGGAGTACAATGTCACCTGGCTGCCTGAATGAGGTTAGGACACCCCCTAGCAACTGACATTTGGCATGTAAGAGAAATAGACCTTCCATGTGTCAAACTGCTGAGGAACAGGAGTCAAGGAGGTTGCTAGTTGCTACAGCAAAACCCGCTGACACTGGGCTTCCTATTTTGGTAAGCAAATGGAAGCAATCAAAAGAGAACTTCTACAATCTCCGGTAGCCGCATCTGCCTTGATTACTCAACATGTACTCTGCCTTCTTCCTGAGTTGTAGATAAATTTTCCTAAGGCCAGCCTTTCATCTTGTACACTAGATCACATGCATCTTCTTTTCCTTACTCAAGGCCAACATTCAACATTTCTCCACTCTGTCTCTTTAATTAGCAATTTTCCCTCTCAAATAAGTAGTCTCCATCAGTAAATAAACATACTGTAATTTCTACTTTAAAGTGACCATAATAACTGTAGAGATTTTTAAAATTCCAATCAGCTGCAATATTCACTCCCATTCTCTCTGGAACCATCTCATTAGATTCTTCTGCATGCCCTACTGCCCTGAAAACCACTCTTGTCAAGGTCACCAATGATGCCAAATATAGAAAATTGGGTAGTCAAATCTGGGTCTTTTTCTGATATGACAATAACTTGGTTGACCACATTCCTTCCTTCTTGAAATATTTTCTTCCAGGTACTTCTTTAAAATCCTCTTCAAAATATTTCTTTTAATCCTCTTCCTACCTTACTGGCTGCTCCTTCTTGGTCTCCCAAACTATAAATATCTGGGTGCTCCAGAGCTCAAGTCTTGGATGTCTTTTTTTATTTCATCCACACTCTCCTGCCAGGTGATTTCATCCAGTTTCATGCACCATGCTATATGTTGATGACACACAAAATGTTTACCTCACCTCCAGATAGTAGAACAATTATAATAATATACTGCAATGAAAGTTATGTGAATATGGTCTCTATCTCAAGATTTTCTTTTTATTGTACTGTATTATATTTTCAGATCTTGTTTGATTGTAGGTAACTGAAACTGTGGAATGTAAAACCATGGCCAAGGCTTGGGGGAAGAGGGGAACATTGAACCTCTATTGCCACCACCCCTGGACCAAATYCAGACCATGCTTCAGCAGAGTTATTTTAATAGTCTCCTAACTGGTCTTACTTCTTCTTTCCTGCCCCATATAGTCTACTCTCAAGGGAGCAACTAGTCATCTGTTAAACAGCCTGCATCTGTTAAATCAGAAGCAGGTCCTTTCTCACTGTAAGCCCTGAAACTGCTTCCCCACTCATTCAGAATAGAAGTCAATGCGCTGACACTGGCCTCCAAGGACTTCCATGAATGGATTACTCACCTTTTCTCATCTCATCACTACTGTTCTCTCCCTCATTTTCTCAGCTCTGAAAACACAGCATGTTTGTGGTTTTGGAAATGGCTATGTGTACTTCTGCCTCTAGGAATTTGTGTTAGCTTGCTCCACCTAAGCTCTTCCCACCTGATCATCTATCCCTAGGTGTCCTGGTGACTCTTTTTTTTTTTTTTCTTGGAGTCTCTGTTTAAATATCACCTTCAGAGTGAGTTCTTCTCTGAGTACTCTATATAAACTATATCCCTCATCTCTAGTCACCTTACTCTCCTTATTTTTCTCTCAAGCACTTCTTATCATCTGACATATTAGTTGTTTTTTGATTATATGTCTTTCCCTAACTTTAATGTAAGCCCTCTGAGGGCAGAAACTTGGTCTATTTTATTCACTGGTAAATCTCCTGTGCCTAGAGTAGTGTTTGGCATAAATCAGGAAATTAATAAACATTTGAATTAATAAATTGCATATTGTAAATTGCCTTGAATAGCTATTAAACCTCTAGCATATGTGACTCTTATATTAACCAAATAGTAAACACTCTCAGGAATAAGTCAGAGTTATAGCTTGGATATGAAGTGTCCCTCAAGAAACTCACATTAGGCGATATAGCAATGTTCAGAGGTGAAATGAATGGACTGTGAGAAACTGTCCATGTGGTCTTGAACAACAGACATACACAAGCTGCTCACGCTCCAGCTATACTACACTGGTTGCTCAGAAAATTGCATCAACCCATCCAGGCAATGCCCAGTGCTTGCATTGTTTTCCTTTATGGATGATCTCTAAGTAATGCCAGTGGCTTCAGACACCTGGCATTCATGGCAATTTCATCTTTTTTTCCCCATTGAAAATGATTTTTTCATATGAGTAACTTCTTTCAGTGCTAAATCTGAAATAAATGATAAGTGCTATTTAAGATACTCCACTTTTATAAAGGCATACTTAATAAATGCACACTTTTTTTTATTCAGAAGACACACATTGGCGCACAAGTTCAATATGATGATTTTCAACCCAATCAGCTGTGAAGGTCATATGGGAGGTTTTCATAGTGCAACCCAGAAGAAGGAAGGGTGTGCGGGCTATAAATACGGACACAAACAGGAAATAAAGACATCAACTCATGAAAACTCAGTTCTGCAAGGCAAATAGCCTGGTGAGTGGTGGTATCAGAAATGTGTGACTTTGTAGCTTTTTATTTTGACAGCAGAGTTCCAAAAGTGTTTAATTACTTTTTAGTTTTGTATTTATGTTTTGTTGGCACTGGGGATTGAACCCAGGATCTTAGGCAAGCAAGTGAACTGCCACTGAGCCACATCCCCAGCCCTTAATTACTGCGTTTTGTAAAATGTTTCTATTTTTTATTAAGGCTACAAACCTTCAGATTAAAGTTGTTCGGTGGGCCCCAAACAGTGTAAACGATCTAAAAATCCTACAAAACCAATCTTTATTGTTTAGGGGTGTGTGTGTGTGTGTGTGTGTGTGTGTGTGTGTGCTGTTGTTTTGATAAAAATTAACAGCAAAGACAGGGTTTATCAAAATTCAGGATAGTGGTTACTCTGGGAAGATGGATGGAGGACTCAAAAAATTCTAAATGTATTAGCAAATTCTTTTTCTCAAGTGACCTAAAGTGCAGTGCCCAAGCAGCAGCCAATAAAGCCAGAAAAGATGGGATACTCCACAGAAGGGCCTAAGAAAACCAGGTGAGGAAGTTAGTGGGTGGAGCAAGGAGAAGGAGAAGGAAGCCAGGAGAGAGGGAGGGGGAGAGGGGCGGGGCGGGGCGGAGGGGGCGGAGCCTCGGGTGTCGCCTCCCGGCTCCACCCGCGGGAGAGGCGCCACATGGCTTCGGCCTCCACGGGCCTCGGGGCCCGGTCCTTGCTGCAGTTCTTGCGGCTGGTGGGGCAGCTCAAGGTGAGCGAGCGCGGGGCTGATTGTTTAGACCGGGCAGCGGTAGGCGCGTTGGCGGGCCGGTGGGGCCTCGGGGCTCCTAGCCGGGCCAGCGGCCTGCCCGGTCCTCCGCCCTCTCTRCCGCGCGGAATTCGGGCTGAGAAATACCCTCCCGAGGCGACCCGCGTCGTGGACGGTAGTGGAAGAGAGGTGGCGCAGCCGGCTGCGGGGCCTGTCCGGGCCCGGCCGAGTCCGATCCTCGGCGTCCCGGTAGGGAGGGCACCAGGCAGCTGTTCCCGAGGCTCTGCGGCCCTCGCCTGCCGGGTCTGCACCGAGTACACCGGGCCACGTGTGCGGGATGCTCCTGAGCAGCCGCAGGGCAGGAACGGAATCCAGCGGCCCAGCAGATGTCAAGTGGAGCGCTTGAACTCTCACACAGTGACTTCAATAACAAGACACTCTCCCCCAGCGGATTTTTATATAATACACACTGGAATTTCATCATGTGCGTCCTGCCCTAGCTCCCTCCTATTATAGTTAGTGATTTTGCAGAAGAATTTCCCCAAGTTCAAAGCAGATCATCTTCATGCCACTGACGACTGATAAAATGATTTAGAAATGTAGAATTCTGAGGCGGAAAGGCAGTCTTACAAGATCACATCATTTTTTTTTCCTTTTATTAAAAAGGAAGAGTCCTGACTGGTAGGATGATCAAGCAATTAGAAATGGTTTTCTCCCTTTGGCTTCAGAATTTGGAAGTCCTTCACATGTTCAAATTCAGAGCCTCCATTCCAGTGATCTCCACTTGTGTAGGATGCTTTTGTTTGAAGGGAAAAAGCTATAACTCTTGTAGTTTAGAAAAAAYGTAATTTTGTTTTTATGACTAAAAGATTTGTATACATTTCACAATTATGCTTCATTAATAGAGTAACTTGACTTTTGGACTTTGGTATACTTGCGAATTACATTTCACTATCCCCTATCCACCAAATTCTCTAGTTTGATTCCAGATTTGTTGATCATTTTGGTTGGTTTCCTAAAGCATTATCTTATAATAGGTTCTGAAATAATGGCCTTTATGTGCTCTTCCCTGGACATCTTTTAAGCATAGCAGATAGTAAGAGGATTTGTTTTGTTTTTAACTTTTTCTATTTAATACTTATCAGAGAGTCCCACGGACTGGCTGGGTATACAGAAATGTCAAAAATCCAGAGAGCGTATCAGATCACATGTATCGGATGGCAGTTATGGCTATGGTGACCAAAGATGACCATCTTAATAAAGACCGGTAAGCTAATCTGAACTTAGATGGTTGTAAGAGTCTAAGACTAAGGCCTCTGTCACATTCTTGTAGGTTGGTTTATATGTCAAGCAAAACTATTTGAGGCCAACCAGATTTAGGATGTGGGAAGGAGAACTCTTGGAGATGATTGCTTCAGTTGTAAAGTGAAGTCTGGGCTTTTTGTGGGCAAGTTATAGAACCAGCAACTGGCCTTGGTCTCAGAGGAAACGTAAACATAATATTAGGGCTTTGAATGTGAGAATGTTATGTCTAAAATTATCAGCTGTATTAGTATACTATTTGTCCCTTTTATGAATAGTAGAACCCATTTGTTAGGTGGCTTTGTAGTTGGATGTTCAAAATGCTTTTGGAGCATAGAGCAGAAGTTAATATATAAAATGGTAAATAAATCTCAAATAAATTTCAGAAGCGCAAATCAGCTTCTAAAAAAAGTGTGGAGGAAAATAAAGCTATTGTCAAAATTAGGCAAGCATTCTAACAGTAGGGGAGATCCCCTGTTCTTGGTTGATCTTAATGGAAGAGGCAGCAGGAATTGGATTCTAAGGATTGATAAAGATAGAGAAGTAGTTGTGGCTCAATACACAGAGAGAAGGGGATAGAAACCAAAGTCTGGAGGCAGGGAAAGTAAAGAAATATCTTGGAAAGGAGAAGAATATCAATTTGATTTCAGTGATGGATTCCTTAGGAAGTCTGGGGAGTCCTATTACTCAGTACATAGGAACGGAGGAGATTTTCGGCAAATAGTACAAGATGGAAGTGAAGTCAAACAGATGAATTTAGGAGTATAAGTTTTGAACTAGATTCAGAAGGAGATGAGGTAGGGAAGCCTAAGAGAAGGCTATTAGGTCTGGTACTGCCTGTGTAACAGTGGGAGTGCTAAACAGAGTCATCTGGGCATTTGTGTTATTGCTTGCCTATGTTATTTTGATGATGATTATCACAAATCATTAATCACTAATAATCATAGCCATTTGCTGAATTATCAAAATGATCTAGGAAAATAATTTATCAAATTTAATTTTTACACCAACTTTATGAAGTACTGTTATCCTATTTTTACAGATGATAAATGAAAGGTGACAGAATTGGATATTTAAATAGTTTGGCAAAGATCTCATGTGGGTTGTTTGCTGAATTCAAACCCAGATCTGTTCAGCTCTATCCATGACCCTATAAATGGCTTCATTTTGTAATCTAACTAGAACATTGGGGAAAATGATTGTTTGTAAATTTTGTATCAGTAAGTAAATGCTAACCAGATTATCTCGTGGCTTTGTAATCTGAAGTTACAAACCTGTTAAAGAGAGATTTAGAAACCAGTCATCAAAAAAAAAAAAAAATCATGCAAAGAGTTTCTCCTATACTCTTCTATATTATGTTGAATATTATACTAGCAGTTTTGTTTCAGAACTGTTGTAGGCTAATGGAATATAATTACCTTAGAAAATACTGCATTAAAATCTGTGGACGTAGAGAAAAAWGTATTATGTAACTTAAAAATAGCATAGAAAAGAAAACCTATAGTGAATATAATTCTGTATAATTTTCACCATTTCTTGCCTGGTCAGATGTATACGTCTAGCCCTGGTTCACGATATGGCAGAATGCATCGTTGGGGACATAGCACCAGCAGATAACATCCCCAAAGAAGAAAAACATAGGCGAGAAGAGGTCAGTATTGATTATTGATTCTTCAAAAGACCATTGGAAAAACCCATTGCCGGAGCATATCTAAGTTCAATAGAGCTATTGCAGTAAAGGAGAACACCACCTAGATAGTCTCATTGGTATCTCAGGAAGGAGAGTTTAGGTGTAGATATGTTTAGTTTTAGGACCTGGGCTGGAGAATGTTAAAATGGGTCTTATAAGATAATAGGCCATTAGCTGGGATTGCAAAGGGTGTAGGACTTAATTTTTGGATCAGTGGGAGGCAGAGCCTTGGGAGAATCAAGGACTAAGCTATTGGAGCTTACTTTCTTAGGTGGTTTACACAAGAATAGGAATCTATGCTTGTTCTATAGCTTGTTTAACACAAGGATAGGCAGTCATTAAAATGTAGACATAGATAATATGATTTTCATTAGAGCAATAGAAATAGTTGGAATTTAAGTTAATTTGTGGAAATTTTTCATGCTAGTTAAGCTCTTTGGAGAGAAAATCTAGATCACAAGTATAATTATTATTTAGCAAATTTGAATTTTGTCCTCTAATTCAGTGATTGGAAGTTTAAAAAAAAAGTAAAGGAAAACTTGTAATATAAAAAACAGTAACATCAATAAAATATAAAATCAATGTTGATGTGAGCCCTAAATTCAGAGCCCAGGGTGAAAGAGGAAGATATTTTGGAACCAGGGCTAGAAAATTAAGGATGACTTTTAAAATGCTGAATGGATAATTTCTAAGTCACAGATTGTTGCAAACTACTTTATGGTAGACCTTTAAATTGTCCTAAATTACTGARCAAGGGAGCTTTTATTGAGATCTGAGATGGTTTAAGAAGACTGGTGGCTCCTTTTTTTTTTTTCTCCTTTGCCGTACTGGAGATTGAACCTAGGGCCTTAAGCATGCTAGGCATGTGCTTAACCACTGACCTACATCACTAGCTCTCCAGTAGGCATAAATAGCTTTTTCCAGAGGTGTGGGAGACTAGAGTGCAGTAGCCATTAGGGTTTTTACCCTTCTAGAGGCAAGAAAATCCACAAAGAAGTAGAGTCCTAATTTCAGAGTTGCAACCCACCCTAAATTTTGAAAACAAAGAATAGTATAAGAAATGCCTTCCTGTTCTTGCCAAAATACAGGTCTACAAGATAGCCTAAACCATCATGACAGAAAGGGAAGAATCTAAGAAAATGTTTCTCTATAAAAGTCTACTATCATGAATTGAGAATTCTTGTTGTGTTGTCAGAATTGATACAAAAAGAAAGCCATTTGCTCAAGAGTCTTGAGTTGCAGAAAGGAACTGGCACTTGAAACAGAGGGTGCTGAGTGTAATATATCAAAGAAAAAGATGGGGGAAACTCAATTATGCAGCTTGTTTGGGTAAATCTGGATATGTAGAGGGAAATCATACTGAAGTACTAGAAGGTTCTCAAAGACCTTTGAAGTGAGGAGAAGGCATGGAGAAATATGACAAAGAAGAAGAGGAAAAGACAAATTGTCTCTTTAAAGGTACACAAGGAATTGCTCCACAGAGGAGTTAAGTCAGAACCTTCTGGAGAAGAACCCCAGTCAGTGTGAAAGATCTCCACCTACCACTGACCTAACAGAGGTCAAGTCCTGGCCGGTCTTACCCCATGGAGTACCTGAATAATCAGGGTGCTGCTGTCTTTCCAGATGCTATCTCTTGGCCTCATAAAACCTCTTAGCCATTGCCCGCTTTTGCTGATTCACAGTGGAATAATGTCCCAGGTGGAAGGGACAGGGAAACAGCTTAAGAACAGCAAGTTCTTGGGCCAGAAACCAAGGTCTTGGAGAGCACTCATATTTCTTCATCTCTTCCTGCTTTTGGTCAAGATTTGGGAACAGAAAGGAAGATGAGAGAGGCAAATAATTTTTTATGGAGATGGTATTTATGAATAGGATTCAGATGTCTAAGTCATGCATTAAGATAATTAAATGAGGATTTCATGGCTTGAGGTGGAACATGCATAAAGAGAACCAGGAAGCCTCATTTGCCCAGAGGCTAGCTCACCATATCTACAAGGCTTCAAACTGAAGTAGGAGGGAGGAAAAATACTAGATAAACTGGAAGGCTGATTGTTATAGAAGACGTGGTATTAAGATGAAAGGGGAAAGATGAGGGCATTGAAGAGAAAATCCAGGAATGGGGCCAAAAGCAATACTTATAGTCTGGCCCCTTTCCTAAATACAATAACATAAACTTTACATTATAACCTGAGCTAGTGTGTGTTTCCTGACAGGATCATTAAGATTAGGGAGATGACCTTTAAAATGGAATTTAGCAATGGCAGGTTATATTCCTTTACAAAGTGAAAAGCTTATTAAAATGGAAGGCAGAGTCATGGTACATATATATCTGCAAGGGTTAAAGTGGCTAGAAACTTGGGAAGAAAAGGATAAGGGTAGAACATTATTATAGGATTGAACATGCAGGATGGAAGAAATGAAAAATATAGTGAACTTTGACAGAGGGCTTGTATGTACCAGGTTCAGAGCACTTTACATATGATAATTCAGTCCTTACAACAATTCTCTTAGGAAAGGACCATTATTACACATGAGAAACCTGAAGGACAAAGAGGTTAGGGACTTGCTCAGGGTTCCATAGCTAATAAACAAGAAACCAGATTTCACATGCAGTTTGCACCTAGCTACCACATTGTTTGACCTCCCCAGTATGTGAATGACAGATGATGCTTCTCGGATACTCGTCATAAACCTGTCACAAGACATTTGCTGACAGTTCCACTCAGCTCAGAACTTCAGGCAAATTCTTGACATGTTCTGCTATTGGAGGAAGCTAGGGAAATTGTCACTAGACTGATGTCTGAACAATACAGTGAGAGTACAGAAATGAGGGTATAGGGCTCCAGACCAGGAAGCAGAAGGTGGTCATATTCTCCCATGATTGCTGGACTCAAGTGAAGTTGATTTCCAAGGGTTTATTTTAGAAAGCAGTGATGATTCTGTTGCATCTGCCATTAAACCCTAGGACTATTTTGCAGTTCTAATTGTTTAATAATAAGTGATATCAACGAGCTTAGATTCAGAAAATCTACTCAGTTTCAGGAAGAGCATCAAAATGCTTGTTATCTGTTTTAAAGAATGTGGTGATTTTAGTTAACAGAAAGCTGATTAATCAGTCAGTATTGGAATGTGATCACTGAAAAGCCAATTCAGTCTTAGGTTACATTTATAGGAATATAGTATCTAGCATGAGGAAGGTGATAGTTTCATCTCTTCCACCTTGGTCAGTTAAGACATAAATTATGTTCACTACTGGGTATATCACCTTAAAGGGAATAAAGTAGTCCCTTGTTAAAGCAGGATTGTAATGTTTGGATTCTAAAAGTTTAGAATAAAAGTTTAAACAAAAGGAATGGGCAAACTTTTATTCTAGAAAGTGTGGAAAAAAGCAATCTATTTATAAAGACATTTGTTTTTGTGAAAACATAAAGTACTTTCTTAAGCATTTTGCTGAGATTATAAGAAAGAAGCCAGGAAGAATGTGAGTATAAAATACACTAAATTTTATGCCACTAAGGGTAGTCTGGAGTACAGCTCTGTGATTGAACAGCATGCTGCTGTTACTTTAAGAGCTGATTGTTGGCATTGGTAAACGTGATTTACTCTGTAAGCAAATGTATTTGATAAACTTTTTCCTCCCAGTAAGTAATAAATACACACATAAATATCCATTTTTGTTTTCATTTATGACCTTTATGTTTTGCAAAAATGGTTCTTATAACCATACTATTTTCAAGGAGACTAGCTTCCTGGTTAGAAGAACTGAAGTGAGAGTAAAAGGTATGTATTGAGATAATGAAGGAATTTAAAGCCATTTGAGAGTAAGTTTACCCCAAAATGTGATATTTTAGAAGGATACTGGAAAAACTTGAGGGAAGAGACTGGAATAAGATTAACTCTTGGGACTTTGTAAAGATTATAAATGAGTGTAGGGCCTCATGCTGCACAGGCCAGGCCAAATCCTTTTCCCAGCCCCTATTTCATTATCTTTGGACTTTGTGTATGCACACGAGTGCACACATGCATACACACACACACACACACACACACACACAGTGAAAAATCAATCATTGTTTTGTTTTTGTTTGTTTCTCTTTCAACCTCACCCAGGTCCTTATAACTCTCAGGGATGGAAGGGTTTTACTATGGACCTCTGGTGGTGACAGGTACTGGAGGGACGACTACTGGGGACATAATACCCTCCACTCTTATTCTCTTACCTCAGCTTTCTTTGGGTTTTGGCTAACTCTCAGACTTCTGGTGAGGGAAGTGGCTTCCCTGTATCAGCTTCTGTTAGATAAAATGTGGAGAAGGACCCAGAGTGGCCTGGTTTGAGTTATGAGGCCATCCCTTTGCTTAGTTACTTTGGCCACAGAGAGCCTGACCTAGCTCGTCACTCCCCCAACCCCCCATTTGACACTATGCTTGTGGATGAGTGAGGATAGCAKGAAGGATGGGGTTAAGCATGGTGGAAGAACTACAAAGACTGTTGTTAGCTTGACATAGCAAAGTGCTTTTGACAGTGCTGCCTGAAACCCATGTGGGAGTCTCTTGAGAGGCTGGGTTCTGATCACTGAGCATGTTTGTGGAGAGAGGACAGAAGTGTTCCACTGCAGCCTGTGAGTTAGTGAACCTATGAAGGTCTATACTATGACTTCCTTCATGTTAATAACAGTAATTGCCCTGTGTAGTATTTTAAATTTCCAATAAAATAATATTAATAATAGAAAATAAATATAATGCTACACAAAAATGTTGATACCAATGTAGATCAATTTATTCTACTGCCCCTATAGGAGTTATTTGTAATAATCTGAGCCTATAACTCATGTATAGTTGTTAAGCAGTAACATAACTAGTTGTTAACTTAGACAAATGTGAGCATAATGAAAATAATAGTTTGATATTTCAGGAAGCTATGCAACAGATAACCCAGCTCCTACCAGAGGATCTCAGAAAGGAGCTCTATGAACTTTGGGAAGTAAGTATACAATAGGTAACTTTTTATTTATTGCAACTGAATTTATATGGTTCATTGATTTTTTAGTTTGCTTAGATTGCCTTAACAAGCTATCTCAAATGGTAGTCTGTTTTTCAACTCCAAGTGGCTGCAGGAATCTCTTGGGGCTCACAGTCCGAAGTCCCCATTTCTCTCACCACCACAGTGCTTGGGATGAATTTTGACTAATAGATCCTGGATTTCTTGCTGATTTGCTTATATCCACCTATCCATTTCTGGTCTCTGAAAAGAGCATGGCTTTTGGGGGAAGTTCAGAAATGGGACTGAATTCACCTTACCACCTAGTTGTATGTCCTTGGGAACGTTCCTCTTATTGAGTGTGGCGGTCATAAAGCTTTGAAGGGTCATTAGGGCTGAGTGAAGTAAAGGTGAAAGTTCACTGTGCTGCCTGGCACCGAACGGGGGCTCATTCAGCATGGGGGTTCTCTCCCTATGTTTGGTCCCTTCCCAATGCTGCCCATAGACAAGGGAGGTGAGACTGGAAGGAAAAGACAGGGAGGATAGAAAGGGGAAGTAAGTTGTTTTATCTTATTGCTTCCTTTCCTAATGTTGCGTATCCTTTGTGAGGGAAAACAGACACCTCTATAGTACCGTTTCTCACCTCTTTCAGCCTGCACTGGCATAGCCTTGCTGGAGCTCTTAGACCCACTTTTTTTTTTTAAATTCCCCCCCCCCTTTTTTTGGTACCAGGAATTGAACGCAGGGGCACTTCACTGAGTCATATCCCCAGCCCTTTTTATGTGTTTGAGACAGAGACTTACGAAGTTTCTTAGGGCCTTGCTAAGCTGCTAAGGCTGGCCTTGAATTTGTGATTCTCCTGCCTCAGCCTCCAGAGCCACAGCTAGACTCACTCTTAATACTGTGCGCAGGTAGCCCTGCCTTCCACTCTCACTTCTCGCATTTCCTTCAAAGTGCTCACCTTCAGAGCCTGGTCTTCCACCTTGTGTTTCCACATACCCAGACCCCCACCCTGCCTTGCCTTTCTCCTGAACATCAAAGCTGGCAGAGGTCCCTTTCTTAGTTCCTCACATGATGGGTTGGTTCTTCCTTTGGGAGTGAGATGGGACATGAATGGGGTTGAAACCCTGAATAGACTTTGCCTCCTAGAATGTCATGTTTTACAACATCAGATTCTGTAGTGCACTGTTATTTCTGTGGTTTGCTTCGTTATGGGATGAAATAGCCCTTTTAAGGCAGTGGGTAGGGTGCAGAAATCAGTGCCTTCTAGTCAGAGTTACTTGACTTTGTTCACCTGTTTCTTTTCTAGGAAGTGAAAGTCAGATAGGCCTACCTACCTGCCCATATCCACAATTATGAAATTCACAAAGCTCAGAGAACCAGTTTTTAAAAACTTGACCTCATTTGAACTCATTTATCAGCAAAATCGTCTCTGAATCAACATTAGGCTATTTGGAGTTCTAATTCATCCTCTTCCTTGTGATAGTTATATTTATATGGAGAAATATTCATCTGTTTGGTAGCTAAGTACTACCCCAGAGCCCACTAAAGGTATTCAGTAATATACATTATATGTGCCATATTATTTTTCTAAAATAAGAAAATTTGAAATCTGAAACCAATCTGGTGCCAGGGTTTAAAATGAGAGATGTGGGCTTTTAACATCTGCCTTGTTGAACAGTAATGAGAATTAAATCTGGTGAAGTATGCATGGTATCTAGCCTGGAGCCTGGTGTAGGTGGTATCTGTTATAGTATAATAGGATTTATTTAGGAAAAAATGTCTCTTGTTTCCAAGTATGTACTTTCAAGTAGTTTTTGGAACACTCTTTCTAAGATGCGGAGTAAAGAAGTGGAGTAGGTTGCATTTCATACATAAAGAGAAAATAATGGCACCTGAGTTTATGGAACTAATCCATGTATGGTCTTTTAAGAAGAAACTTCAGAATTTGAAAACCTTTTATAATAATTTGTCCCTTTGTGACTCCTAATTATTGTGAATATAGAGGTAATGTCTATAAAATTATTTTCTTAACTATGAGCAACTAGCTAAAAATTTTACTGCAAAATTTACTTGAATTTAAACAGTATTCCAAGTAGTATACTACAACAGTTACTAAGAAAGACTCTGGAGATGATTAAATATAAACCATAGAATTAAAATCGTTGATAACCCCCCCAATAGGTAACACTTTTGCTATTTTGTGCCATTCTTGGTTGATAAGCAAAGCTTGTTGAAGAACTTTTCTCCAGACACACTAGGGAAGGATGCTTCCTCGCCTCTTTCTAGCTTCTTGTGGTTGCAGTCCTTGGCTTATAGAAGCATTGTTCCAACTCCTTCCCTTTAGTCATGTGGTGTTCGATGTTAGTGTCTGTGCCCAGAGTTGTCTCTATTGTATTAACACCCATCCTAATCCAGTATGAATACCTTATAATTCAATTACTTCTGCAGAGACTATTTCCAAATAAGTCATAGTTACAGGTCACATGTAAGGTTCAGATGGATATGAACTTTTTAGTATAGTACAGGGACCTATAAAAATTTATGTATGTTATAATTCATATCCAGTGTTAGTTTATGGGCTTCAATATGAGACTTCTGGGGTTCATATACAGGCTTCATATATTAGCTTTGTGGCCCTGAGCAACTTATTTAATTTCTTCATTTATAAAATGGCAATGATAATATACCTATATTATATATTTGGGGGAATTAAAGTTATTAATATGTGTAAAGCAATTGGAATACTGCCTGGCATATAGTAAGCTCTATTTTTCCTTGTCCATATATTCTATTTTTCTCTGCCTCTAGTACTTATATTATGATTTTGGTTTAAGAAAATATGGTCAGACTGTACCCATGAGAATTAGAATAATACTGGCTACATATTAAATACCAGTTGATTCATATTTGAAGTGTTGATCACCATAGCTATTCACTACTCTAAATACCTATCAGCCGGAGGGGCATGTCTGTTTAAAGCAATTAGACAGCCTTGATTATAATTTAGCTTTCATCTCCGAAGTGTAAAATAGGATTTCAGTAAACCAAGAGGAAAGAGTTCTTTTTTTTTTTTTTTTTTCCCTGAATGTATTTCAGAAAGGTGGCTACCTTACCTCCTGCATTTCACTTTAAAGAAATACCTTGTGGGCTGGATTTGTGGCGCAGTGGCAGAGCGCTTGCCTCACACATATGAGCCACTGTGATCCATCCTCAGCACCACATAAAAACAAATAAATAAAATAAAGGTATTAAAAAAAAAAAAGAAATACCTTGTGAGCTCCTAAACATGAAAGCAGCTATTCCCCCATGCCAAGTGCCTAGCATACCAAATGCCTTTGGATTCTTTGTTTATTTTTAAATAGAAAATGGTATTTTAAGACCCCAGTATGAACACAATCCTGGTTGTATAGTACACAGAGGATGCTGGAATTGGACTTTCATCCACACTTATTTGCTTTGTTCTTCTTTACACATGTGTCATCTCAGAATAGTAGTTATATACCATCATCATCATTTCTGATACTGAAAACAGTTTGCCTCTGCTATCTCCATCTTTCCCTTTTATAATCATTGTATTGTGTCTATGTTTTCAGAACATCTAACCATTGCATGCTATAGCTTCTCCTTTTCATTCTTAGTTCTGTAAGTAACCATATCATTGAAGTTCACCACCAGTTCTTATTTCAGTTTCTTAACAGTTCTGATTGAGACTTATTCTCTAGTAGATTCTTCAGGAAGGGCTTACAGGAACTATGTTCTCTAAATTCTTGCATTTTGTACTCTTTGTACATAAACTCCTTTCTAATTTCAGTTTCTTTGGATATAAAGTCCTTTGCTTCCAGTTTCTTTCCTTGAATATCTTAAGTATGTTTCTCTCATGTTTTTCTTGACATAAAACATTGCTATTAAAGTCTAATCATAATTTTATTTTCCTTATATGCCAGATGCTCTTTTTTGGGTATCTGAAGAATTTTTTTTTCTTTTAGGTCTTGGTAATTTTATTACAGTGTKCTTTGTTTTGGTTTGGTTTTGGTTTTGGGGATTGTTTTGGGGTGCTGGGGATTGAACTCAGGGGCACTTGACCACTGAGCCACATACTCAGCCGTATTTTATATTTTTTATTTAGAGACAGGGTCTCACTGAGTTGCTTAGCACCTCGCTTTTGCTGAGGCTTTCTTTGAACTCATGTTCCTCTTGCTTCAGCCTCCTGAGCCACTGGGCTTACAGGCATGCACTACTGCGCCCAGCTATTACAGTGTGTTTTTGTGTTGGTTTTTCTGGGTACATTTTTAACATATACTTTGAAATCTTTAAAAAAATTTTTGATTGTAAGAAAACTTTTTTGAAATGTAATTTTTTTAATTTGATTTTCTTCTGAGATTACTCTATGTCTATTCATTTGTTAGTTTTTCTTTACCTAGCTTTAATACTTGTCAGTTTCTCTGAAATCATTTGTTTATTTTCTTCTCCTCCTCTGCCTCCTTCTTCTCCTTCTTCCTTTTGATTTTTGTTTGAGACCAGATCTTGCTAAGTTACTCAGTCTGGCCTCAAACTTGGGATTTTTCTGTCTCAATTTTCCAAGTAGCTGAGATGATAGGTTTATGCCACCATGCTCAGCTTTTTTTCCTTTTCTTTTAATTTTGTATTTTTTACTTTTCAACTTAAATTCCTTTCTAATTTCTGTTTCTCTTAAAGCACTATTTGTCATGTTAATTAGCRTTGTACTTTTTATTGATTAACTTTTATTTCTAAGATTACCTTTTATCTGATTCTTTTGTTCTTTTTTATGTTTTGCATCATTTCCTCCTTTTTTTAGCTCCTTTTGAAATTTTTGTGGTAGAATTGATCTCTCTCTTATTTTGAATATCTGTCTGATGTAAATTGTCTGTGGAGATGTTGTTTTGTTCCTTACTTTCTTTATCTTATGATAAACAAGTAGAGGATCTAACCACTGTGCTTTCTGTTGCTTGTTTTGATGGAAAACTAGTTTTCCTGAACTTTTGGAAGGAAACTTGATTCAGAATGACTTTTTTTTTTTTCAGTTTGTTAATTTTTGTTTCTTTTTAATTGACAAAAATTTTATATATTTGTGTACATATGATGTTTTGAAATATGTATGCATTGTGAATTATAGGATGGCTGAATTTATCTAATAAATAGATACAATACCTGTTTGGGTTTTTATGGTTAAAATAGGGAGAACCATCAAAATTATAATGGGATTGTTTGCTCCTAGTAAGGAGCTACTGTAGAAGAACATGAAGGATGGAGGAATATTATTAATCAGCTGTTTCCTAGAATTACTTACCTGTCTAATTTTCATCACCATTTTTTTGTGGTGAGAACAGATTGCCTTCTTAAATTCACAAAACTTCCTCTTCAGCTTTCTTTTTTTTTTTTTTTTTAATGAAGTGTTAGAAAAAACATGTTAACTTGTTTTTAGAAATTTCTTGATCCTTTTTTGTTTGTTTGTTTGCTTTTTGGTACCAGGGATAGAATCCACTGAAATCTCCAGCCCTTTTTAAATTTTATTTTGAGACAAGGTCTTGCTAAGTTGCCCAGGCTGGCCTTGATCCTCTTGCCTCAGCCTCCCAAGTAGTTGAGTTACCAACATGACCACTACACTTGGCTTAATTTTGTTTCCCTTCTTCATTTTAATCTGATTCTTTTCTTTTCTTCATCTCTAGAATCCTTATCCCACTCTGTCTTGATTCTGTTCCAGAAGTTTCTTCTCACAGGGCATCTGTCCTGGAAGGGCACCCAGGAGGTCAGACTGGAGTGTGCAGTAGGTTGCACTGTGCCTGTGTTCATCCAATAGTAGAGTGGACAAGGTCTCCTCCAGTGTGGACTGCTCTTCTGAAAATTTGAGAATTCTAGCAAACACCTGTTGGCTATTTTGAGATTCTGTTCTCTGTCCATCAGGCATCCTCTTTTTCCTTGGTGCTTCTTCTTGACAGGTGGAAAGAGCTTCTGCAGGGCTTATAGCTAGAGATATTTTGTCTCATCTGTGTAGAATTTGAAATGCATGGGAATGTCACATCCTTTATTATTTATTTATTTGTTTGTTTGTTCATTCATTTTTGTAAAAAATATCCATGATATTTTGATTTTGCTGTTATTTTGCTCTGTCAATTTTTGTCTGTTTCTTCTCCTTTGCTCCCTGGTTTACCATCTACCTAGTTACTCAGGCCCCAAACTAGGAAATCATTTTCAATTTTTCTTCCCATTTCCCTTCTTATTTTATTTTATTTCATTGTTGTGATTTCTTAAATTCCCCCCACTGTCCTTGTCTTCACTGCCATGGTCTTAGAACAGACAGCATCTAGGCTAGTGCTACAAAGTCTCAGAACCTGATTTTTCTGCTTCTGGTCTAGCTTTTACCCAGACCTCATTTAGAGTGAGCTTTCTAAAATCAGATAGAAGGGGACCCTTCCTGCTTGAAACCTTCTGGTGATGCCCAGGAGTTACAGGGCAAACTGTGGTGTCCACACCAGGCTTTTCAAGTGTGGGCTCTAGCCTCCATCTTCAGACTTTTCCTTCCTGTAACACTCAGTCCTGTCATTGGAAGCTACTTGCAGTCATTTCTCCAAATCCTTCACCCTTAGAGCTTTGTCTATACTCTTTTCTCTGTGCCCTGCCTCCTTTTGGGAAAATAAAATTGGAGAAGGCCCTTTACCATTGATTTTTTGGGGGGGGGGGAAATTCAACAATTTACCTTTAAAAGAAATCTGTAAGTTCACCAGAATTTGCTACAAAATATTGTATTTGCTAGTGATCTTCAGATATTTTCTAATTTTGATTTTCAATAGAAAATAAATGCTAGATTGCTGTGCTTGTAGTATTCCATTTCCTTTTGTTAAATCATAAACTTTATTTAATGTTGCTATATAACTATGAATGTGAATGAACACTTAAATAAGATGTAATTATTTTTAAGAGCCTTTGAGATCAAGCAAAATGTATTGAGTTGCATATTTAAATGATTCCCCTGTATAATATTCAGCTTTATCAAATCCAAAGAGCTGCCTTTATAAAAAAAAAAAATAAGGTATCTAATAAAAACCAAGAAGCCTTTCAGTGATTTGTATTATGTCACTCTACCAAGAAAGTATGACAGGCTTATTATCTGAACACATCTGGGTGGAATTACAAATGAGAAGTTTTCAGGGAAACCAGGTGGGAACACTTTGGTCTTAATAGAAGGATGATCCTGTATGGCATTCAAGGGGACTTTTGTCTGTGAGGCATGTGTCCTGCTCAGAGACCTGCTAGAGTTCCTAGTTTCAGGTCTGCCCTGGGGAGGGAGGGACTAGTGGGAAGAGGAAAGGTGGGAAAGCTGCCCCCCTCCCACCACCTTTACCCCTTGCCACCAACATAGGACCCACACTGGTGTGTGCAAAAATTCATAGATCTGACTATCTCCTCAAGAGTCAGAACCCAGAGGGACTTAAGTAATCTTACACTTAGTGGGAAAAGTAAGGACAGAGATTCCCAGGTAAAGTGGTAACCAAAAGCAAAGGGTGAATCTAGCAATTTGTTTAAGAGAAAAAGGTAATCCTTATGAGGAGGGAAGTAAAAGTTGAAAAGCACAAGATGAAGTGTTATCTTGAAGTTACAAACCTATAAACTGCTCAGGTGTTCTTGCCAGACATRGTAGTGTATGCCTATAATCCCATCTACTTGGGAGGCAGGAGAATCACAAGTTCAAGACCAGCTTGGGCAATGTAGCAAGACCTTGTCACAAAATAAAAAGGGCTGGGGATGTAGCTCCTTGGTAGAGCACTTGCCTACCATGTGTGTGACCCTAGGTTCAATCCCCAGTATTGGGAGGATGAGGGTGAAATAATGACCTTGAAAAGAAGGCAGGATAATGAACCAGAAGAAAATCGAGTGGATGAACAAATGAGACTTCCAAGGCATTTGGTGGAATATGTGGAAGGAAGTGTGTGCATCCTTCTTGCATGGACTCTGGTACTAAGCTGTGAATTAAGTATCTCTGAAGGGTTTGCAAACAGGGGTGAAATGTAGCCAAAGTGATTTGAGCTATGACTCTCACTACTGGTTCTATAACCAGTAGTTTCCTGAAATACCTGCCTAACCTTGCTGCTTTGATTTTCCATTTCCTTAGGAGTATGAGACCCAAGCTAGTGCAGAAGCCAAATTTGTGAAGCAGCTGGACCAGTGTGAAATGATTCTTCAGGCTTTTGAATACGAGGACCTTGAAAACAAGCCTGGGAGGCTGCAAGACTTCTATGATTCCACAGCAGGTACTTAATGCTATTTTTTTGTACTGAAGATTGAACTCAGGGGCACTTAACCACTGAGGCACATCCCTAGCCTTTGTTGTATTTTATTTAGAGACAGTGTCTCATTGAATTTCTTAGGGCCTCACCAAGTTACCGAGGCTGGCTTAGAACTCGAGATCTTCCTGCCTCAGCCTTGCAAGTTCCTGGGATTACAAGCATGCACCACCGCACCTGGTCATAATGCTATTTTCTTTTTTTTTTTAAAGAGAGAATGAGAGAGAGGGACAGAGAGAGAGAGAATTTTAATATTTATTTTTTAGTATTTGGCGGACACAACATCTTTGTTTGTATGTGGTGCTGAAGATCGAACCCGGGCCGCACGCATGCCAGGCGAGTGCGCTACCACTTGAGCCACATCCACAGCCCCCATAATGCTATTTTCAATAAGAATCTGTTTTAGTTTGGCTTATTCTAAGTGAAGTGACTAGCAGGGTGTTAATAAAACCCACTGTTGGGAGCATTTAAGAAGAATATAATGGGATTGATGGTAAGATGACATTGGTACTGAAACGCATCGTTGCCTTGGAGTCTGAGCATTGCATTCACATTCCACCTCTGCCCCATGCCCACTGTGTGCCTCTGGATAGCCTCCTGACCTCTCAGAGCCTGTGGCCTCATTTGAAACAAAAAGGGATCATAATATCCTTTGTAAGTCCAAGGTTGATTTTTGAGATTCAAGGAAGATGATGTGTTTGAAAGGGCCCTTTGATCTGTATGTGTCATGTGAGATGGAGGTAGAAATCGAGATTTAAAACAGGAAAACCTCTATAGCTGCAGTCACCTCTATCATTATAGTACTTCATAGCATAGCCATGGAGTCAAACTGCTTGGGTTTGAATCCTAGATATGCCATTTACAAGCTGTGTGACCACCAGTAAATTATTTAACCTCCCTGGGCCTTAGTTTCCTTATCTTTAAAATGGGGATAAGATATACTTTGTAGGATAAAGTAGGATTGTTTTAGGATATAGTAGGCTAGAGTAGTGCCTGGCAGTAAGTGTTAGCAATCTTCATTTTGATTCTTTACAGAGTCAGGAGCTGAGAACACTGTATTAGTGATAGCTGTTTTTCTTATTGTTCCCTGGAAGAAAACTCTCTTCCCTGGGTACTCTTCAGGCTCTGCTCAACCTGCCTTTCTCCTGAGTGTCCTGCAAGGGATGACCTTTCTCTGACCTCTCAGGACCCCATATGGCCTCACCAAATAGAGAAAAGTACTAGCTCACAGTCTCTGCTCCAAATATATTTGCATTAGAATGAAGTTGATTCAGTTTTCCTTTTCTCTTTTTCCAGCTCCGCTTCCTCTGCTCTAGACAAGGCCCTCATTATTTCTTATTGGACTGTTGCTGTAGCCTCCTGACTTAACCTGCCAGCAGGCTTGCAAGTACACCCTGCATGTCTCCTGTCTTCTTTTGTAGATAGTTATTATCATGACTATCTTTATTTATTTATTTAATGCAGTGCTGGAGCTTGAACCCAGGGCCTCATGCAGACCAGACAAATGCTCTATCACTGAGCTGCTTGACTTCTTTATTTTAAAAACTCTTGTGGCTTTTCTTTTTCTAAAACATAAAATCCTGATACTTTTTGAGTGACCTAAAAAGATCTGCAGTCTAAGGCCACCCATCTCTCTGGTCTCCTTTCCTAATCCACCCTGTCACAATTAAACATTTTCTTTTTGCTCAGTCTGCACTTGATCTAGAGCTTGCCAAGGTCTCATAGTCTACACACTGAGGTCCCTCTCTGGATCTCTCTCTTCATTAGTCAGCTCTCATACTGCAGCAGAATCCCTGAGACAATCAACTTATGAAAAGGAAAGATACATTCTGGCTTACAGTTTTGATGGTTTTAGTCAATGACCAATTATTTTGGGCTTGTGGTGGCACATCATGACAGCAGCATATGGTGGACCAAAGCTGTTCACCTTGTGACTAGGACATGGTGGGGGTGGGGTGCAGAAGGAAAGGGTTTTGTTTATCAATTCCCTTTGAGGACATGCTCTCTATTACCTGAAACCAAGCTGAGGAGCAAGCCTTTTCATGGGCCTTTGGGGGACATTACAGATCTTAACTGTAGTGCTCCCCAACACCCTGCTTGATCACMAACTGATAGAGAGCAAGCTGTTTGATGTCCAAGACCAGTTTTGGTTTAAACTGTCTTTGATATGTGAGATGCTCAAAAATCTTACCATAAGTAGAGTTAATTTAAATTTAATAATTTAAGTTTATTCTATTTAACTTAGTAAGTTATTAAGTTAATAACAAACCAAATAGAATAATTTTATAAACCAAGGATCAACAAACTGTGCTCTAAGAGCAAAATTAGGTYACTACCTATTTGTGTAAATAATGTTATATCAAAACACAGTCATACCTCTTCTTTACATATTGTCTGTGCTGCTTTTTGTGTTATAACGGCAGAACTCAGTACTTATAACAGACTATACAGTCCACAAAGCCCAAAATATTTACTATCTGGCTTTTTATAGGTAAGGTTTTCTGATTCATGTTGAAGGCAAGGATTGGGTTTCAAGATAGCATATCTCACCAATAATGTAACTAGAATATAGGTTATATTTATGTGATTCTTTACATTTTATATAATTATCTTCTATCATAGTATATTCACAGTGAAAAATAGAAAATGGAATATGAAGTACCAGTAGAACTAAAAATGTGTGAGTGGAAGAGTTGTCTAAATTTCACATTTTACTAAGAAAGAAACTTGACTCCAGAAAGATGGTGAATGGCCTGTAGCTGAATTGAGATTAAGACTCACTGTACTTTTATTCTGGTTCTACTAAATAATTAGTAAATAAAAATAATATAACTGATTCAAGCAATAGTTTCTCACTTATCTTAAGTAACTCCTAAAGAAAAGTTTACAATCAAAGATGTATGTAGAATTGACTACTATTGAAGAGGAGGTCAAGGCTGTAGTGTTTTTTGTTTTTTTTAATTCACTTCACAACTTTGTATTTTCTTTTTCTGTCTTTGCTTTCTGAATCCTTGCTCACTGAGGAGTAGTACAAAGGCTGTGGCTGATAGATGAATAAGAGAGGAGAGTGGGAAATGAGCCTCCAGAAGTGGCTCATGGAGGATTTATGGGCACTAGAGGACCTTGCCTGTCCTGTCAGTGAGATGAGGAGCCCTGAGAGGATGTGGAGCCCAAGAATATTTTGATTTCATTTATGTGCATGTATGTTTGTGTGTTTTCTCAGAGCTGAGGATTAAACCCAGTGATAGTCTGCTCCCCTTAGCTACATCCCTAGCTTTTTTCTTTTGCTTTCTTTTTTTTAAAGACACAAACTTTCAATCCTCCTGCTTCAGCCTCCAGAGTAGTTGAAATTTCAGATGTGAGCCATCATGTCAAGGTTATTTAAATTTTAAAAAGGCCACTTGGCTTGAGAGATGGAGGCAGGAGGATCTCCAAGCTTAAAGCCAGCCTCAGCAACTTAGAGAGATCCTGTCTCAAAATAAAAAATAAAAAGGATTGAAGATGTAGTTCAGTGCTTAAGCACTCCAGGGTTCAATCCCTGGTTCAAAAAAAAAAAAAAAAAAGCCACTTGTGCTGAAAGCAGGGAGAGTATATCTGGGGACTACAGCCATATCCAAGTGAGAAGTGATGGTGGTTTGGACCCGAATGATTGGGACACAGTAACAAATGGTCAGACCCTGGATATGTTTTGAATATAGAGTTGGCAGGATTTGTTGGATAATTGCATGTGGGGTGTTTGTGAGAGGAGTCCAAGGATTTTGACATGATCAGCTGAAAGAATGAAGTTGCCAATAGATGGAGAAAATGGAAGAAGAAATAGGGATTCCAGAAGCTAAGGGAAGAAGGTGTTTTAAGAAGTAAAGAGTCGCTATCAGATTATCAGATTTGGTGAAATGGAGATAATTGGTGGCCTCAATAAGAACAGATTTGAGCCCAACTGGAGTGAGTTCAAACACCACTGTGAGGAATGGAATGCAGGACTGACTGTAATCCATCCCTGACTGGGTAGAACTGATGGAAAAAACGGGGTTGTGAATGGAGAGATGCATCATCCTTCGAGTTCATTCATTTATAAAACAGTATGTAAAAAGAGCACATTTATGTGCTGATGGCAGTAATCAAGGAAAGGGGTGGGGATGGCTTGGGTGGGATCTCCCGCACAGTGGGGAGGCTGGTCTTGAGAGCTGGGACAGTTCATCCTCACTAAATTATTGCTAGTGATGATTTCAAGGTGTATGCGTAGGAAGAGGAGACTGAGGGAGAGACCGAGAGGACTTCCAGAGGAGAGAAAGTCAAGAAAAGAAGAGAGAGGCTATTAGAAGGCTAGTCTGCATGAGCACTGACATCACGAATTCTGATGGGTGACAATGAACCTCAAGTGGTAATTTTCTAGGCATGAATAGAAGTGGCTTACAGTGCTTTCTGTAGATGACAGCGGCCATGAGGGGCAGTAGGTGGAGTAGCCAGGTAGTGTGACCTTGGCAAAGTGGAGCTAAGTACACTGTGGAAGCAGTAACCAGGTGCATGGAGATGGTCCTCAGCCCTATGGTAAAAGCCTTAGGAGAGAACAGGGCCAGTCAGGGGAAGCCACATCCTCAGGACCAGCCAAGAAAGGGAAGGGAATTTTCAGAAAAGAGACTGAAAACGGATTAAATAGAGTTTAGTGTGGAATGAAGAGTAAACAACAGTAATCTACAGAGAGAAAAAGAGAGTGGGAGAAGAGATGCCGGGTTTGAACATTCCCCCATGTTAAACACCATTGACGTATTATAGCTTGGGCTTGGTTGCTGCCCAGTGCAGAAATCTGGAAAGGGCTGAGCAGCAGAGATGAAAGCACAGATAGCCAGTGCAGTATTTGTGTTCTTTTTCACATCCTGGGACAGCCTAGAACCCCTGGTCATGCCACTCCTCTTTTATATATAGATGCTGTGTCCCCCTTAATTACTTGCAGTTTTGGAATGAACAGATTGGGTTCAGCTCTCCAGTAGTCTCACTCCTTCCTGTAGTTTCTGATAGAGATAAGGGCTTCTGGTGAAGTATCTTGTGGCTTTGCTTAATTGATGGCTCTCTGCCTGATTATCGTTCTACTTGGTGGCACCTGGGTGACAGAATAAAGTGATCCCTTGTCCCCTTCCTAGGATCCAGAGTGTCCTTCTGCTAAGAAGAATGGATCAGATCAAAGAATGGAGCCCCCTGAGCCCTGGGGTCAAGGTGGGGAAGTAGGTGCCTTCTGTTCTCAACAGCAGTTGTCTTTTTGCTTTGCAGGAAAATTCAGTCATCCTGAGATCGTCCAGCTTGTTTCTGAACTTGAGGCAGAACGAAATGCGAACATATCTGCGGCCTCCATGGAGCCATGCTCCTGAGCTCTGTTGCTGCACTCCTATAATATATATTTCATTTTTCTGTTTCATGGTATTGTGTTTTACCATTTTTGGTCAAGTGGTTTCCCCCAATGTGAATCTATTTATTTTCAGTTGTCTGGACTTGAGAAAGAAATGTGATATGATTTGAATACTGAAAGAAGCCACAGAACAGGAAGTGGTCATGATAATGCCACAGATGAAAACTGGACAAGGCAGTACCTTTTCTAAGAATTAAATATTAAATAAATAAATAAATATTTAACATCTTAAACTTTGGAATATTTATTGGAGATCTTAAGTCATCTTATTCTGACTTAATAACCTTGACCCCTAAAGGCCAGATTCACTGAAGGATAGAAAATTTAATTGTAATTTCTTTAAGAACAGAGTCTTCTGCTGATGTAGTAATAAGTATCCAGAAAAGCAAATGTGTTAGCAATGTATTCTCTTCTCAAATGAAACACTGCTTTATCAGATGATCACTTTTTGAGCCAGACTTTTAATTTCACTGTGCCCTGATCATAGACTTTTAAATCTATTAACATGGTCTGCCCTTCCCCCCAGCCCTTTATCATTTGGGAATATAAATTGGAACATACAGCTTCATAGCCATTTGCCTTCCTTTTTTTATTTTTCCATCTGATATACAGATCTTGAGACCCTGGTTATAAGAACATTTATTACCAGATGAAAAATATGTAAGAGAAGAGTATTGCTAGAATCAGAGCCTTAGGTAGGCTATATATCAGCCAAATTTCTTCCATTCATTTCCCTTTATGAGATAAGAGATCAACCCCACATGCCTTGAAGTGAGGCACAATCACTGACTGCTGTGGAAAGGAAGGCCCTTCATGCAAACCTGCCCTGTATTTGGTGTGCAGCAATGCAGCCTGTCTCTTTAATTCAAATGTCAGTTTCTATTGGAAGAAAGCCTTTGAGGCTGGCATGGTGAAATTTCTAGGCAGCGTTTCTTTGGAAACTCTTTGCAGTATCCATGGATACTCAATCTGCAGGAAGCAAGGTGCATGATCTCTTCAGAAGCAATGCACATGCACATATAGTTTCTCTGCATTGGAAGGAGAAGTACCGCAAAATCTGATTATTTTTGGAGATTATTGATACAAAAACAACTCCATCTCTCAGTGTAGTGGAGTTTTATTTGTTCTGAAAACGTGTACATAAAATAACCCCAGAAGAGTTAAAGTATTTATAACCAGAGGAGTTTATGGCCTAGGAGCCTTATTTTGAACGTTTTGTCTGCTTTATATTTGTCACTTAATCATTACCTCAGTTCATCTGTCTACCAAGAAATGGTTCACAATTAGTCCTAAACCTTCCTGGGGGTAATTTACTTTAAAAAAAAAGAAATAAAAAATGTAACAGTGCTGTGAATAAAATCTCCTTTTAATAAGAACAAAATGAAGATCAATTAAAGAAGATAGTTATTGAGTCCAATGGTGATGTCTACAAATATTTGAACATTATTACTTTAAAAACATTCTTTTTTTCTTTTTTTTTTAAATACTTGCTACTTGCCTGGACTTGGTCTTCTGAATACCAAACCCTGTAATTATGATGCAGAGTAAATAATTATTCTTGGATTGAACTCAACAAAAAAGAATTCCTTGTTACTGTTTTTCCCTTGTGGACTGGCATTTCACCAGCTGTTACATAATTCTCAGTGTCCTTGTATTTGAAAAATGTCAATTCATCTCAAAGCCTTGTGGTAGTGATATGAGTGATGAAATACTCTTGTAAAAAAGCAACCTCTGTACTCAGCATTTTTATAATTTTATAGTCTTCATAATTTTATAGTCTTCTTACTTAAAGATGAGTTGACTTTTTCAGGAGTCTTCTGCTGATGTAGTTACTATACTGTGGTTTGATTAGGGTATGTGTGTTTCCCAAAGGGTCATGTGCTGGAAACTTTGACTTCAGTGTTGACAGCTTTGAGGTAGTGAGACCTTTAAGAGGTGGTGCCTAGTACAAGATAATTAGCTCATGGGGCATTGCCCTTGGAAGGGATTAATGCTGGTCTCACATAATGAGAGTAAGTTGTTATAAGAGTAAGTCTGGGGCACGCCTGTAATCCCAGCAATTTGAGAGGTTGTGGCAGGAGGACCACGAGGTCAAAGCCAGCCTCAGTAAAAGTGGGACGGCTAAGCAACTCAGTGAGACCCTGTCTACACTAAAATACATAATAGGGGTGGGGCTGGGGCTCAGTGTTTGAGTGCGCCTGAGTTCAATCCCTGGTACCCTGAATCTCTGGCTTCCTCTTTTGCCATGTGATCTCTCCTGCATATCCTCTTGCCATTGTGATGCCAAGAGGTTCTCACTAAGGTTGAGCAGATGCTGTTGAATCTTCCAAAATGGTGAGCTGTCTAAACCTGTTTCCATTATAAAGTATTCAGCTTCAGATGTTTTGCTATAGCAACAGATAATGGCCTAAGATACTATTAGCAGAAAACTGCTAATTTTTACTATTCTTAGTGATGATCAAAAGTAATCACAAGATTTTGCCAAATATTATCAAATTATATTTGAATACCAAATTTGAAGTTGGTTCACATTTCATATAAGTAAATCACTTTTTAACTTTAATACATGTATTAACTTTCACTAATAATGAAGTAGAGATAATTAAGTTAAACCAGTTTATTCTAGTGCATAGTTTTGGAAGTTCCAGTCCACCATTGGTTGGCCCATTGCTCTGGGCCTGTGTTGAGGTGGCACATCATGGCAGAAGTGCATGAGGGAGTGAAACCATTCGTTTTGAGCTAAGGATGTAACTCCATGGGTAGAACACTTGCCTAGTATGTGTGAGGCAACAAAAAACTCACCTACCTTAGGAGATAGAGAGTGAAAAGGAAGAGGAAGAAACCCAGGTCCCCTTTGAGGGCATACCCCCAAGGCCCTAAAGGACCTCCCACTAGTCCCACCTCCTACAGTTTCCACCACCTCTTAAAAGCACCACCATGGGGACCAAGCCTTTAACAGTGGATCTTTGAAGATATTCAGTATCCAAACTAAAGCATCATTCTGTCTTCTTTTAAAACATCTGCTCCCATTCCAGTTTGACACTGATAGGAGAGCAATGGGTTGAAGTTCACAATATTATGCACGATTTTATAAGAGATTTAACAACTTTCATGCTGAGAGGTACTGGTGGACCAATAAGCAGGCAGAAGAGCTGCCTAGATCTCCAGCATTCTCTCCATGGTGGCCATTGTCAATGAGGTGGCATCTAGTATCCATAATAAAACATGCAGTGTGTTCTATTTTCAATGGTTCAAAGAAGGTTTCTAAGAAAATATATTATTTAGTCTAAGATGGAGATTGCTTTGTTGACATAACCTACCAATATAGGATAAAGCTGCATCATAAATTTACAAATTTTCCCATCATCACTTTGTAAAAGTGCTAAATAGTTAACATAATGGTTTGCTTTTTTAAAAAGCTAGTTTATTTTGTAATTGTAATTCACATTGAATTTTTGGTGCCTGGAATAATTTTTTTATGAAATATCCTTTCATATACATGTTTTTGACCTGAAATAATTTTTGTTAGTGAAAGGTTATGTCCATTATATACCAATACATTTTAGCACTCATGAAATACTTTAGCTACTGCATGTGAATTGAGCAAGTCGACTTAATGGAGGAAAGCAGTCAAATCAGACTATTCTGAACTTCCTCAATTATGAGTAGGTGGTAAGACCAAAACAAGGCTCACTACTTAATCTTTCTAAGACTAACCAATCCTGACAACCAGTAGGCTCAGATTACCTACCTACTAATAACTGATGTGATTATTCTAATCTGTGTGATGTGGCTTAGTTACACATATCATGACATGGCCATTAAGAATACATTCTCAGAGTGAACCATAAAAAGCCTTTAGGTTGCCAGGCCCAGTGGTGCACACCTGTGATCCCAGCTACTCAGGAGGATGAGGCAGGAGGGTCACAAGTTCCAGGCCAGCCTGGCCAACTTAATAAGAACCTGTTTCAAAAAATTAAGAAAAGAATTGGAGGCATAACTCAGTGGGAGAGTGCTTGCCCAGTGTGTATGAGGCCCTGGGTTTGATCTGCAGTTAAAAAAAAAAAAGCTCTTAGATTAATAGAGGTGACATTAATTATATGTGTATATATATATATATATACCAAGCTAACAAAATTAGACTTGTGATGATTTAATAAGTAACTAGAATGTATGTATTAGAAGCTTTGAGATGTTAACACTAGTTTTCTTATTTTTCTGTCCAATTTTAATATTGTTTTCAGGCAGTAGGGCTGGGGCAATTATATATAGTAATCTGTGAGTAAATGAAGATATTTGTATAGTACCATAGCTCTGCTTATTTCATACAATGCAATGGCTGAGTGCAGCCAAAATGATGGTGATGGCAGAGAGTTGAACAAATTTGAGCATTTCAGACTTCCCAGATAGCTGCAGGCTGGGCCCAGGGAGACTGTACTTGCATGAGGCAGGGGTGACTCCACAGTGCATGTTCCAGCCAGATAGAGTTGGCTTCCTGCCCCATGAGGAAGGCCTTGATTTCAACCAACAGCCTGAAAGGACAAATGAGAGAGAATGCCAGCGCCCCTACTGGCAGGGCCCTTTGTCCACATTTGTCCACTCTGGTTCAATGTCTCAGTGTACTCCCACAGCTAAGATGTTAGGCCTCAGAAGGCTATGTGCTCTTGAACCAGCTTGATTTTCAGTTAGCTGTACAGACTGTATGGATTTTTGTACTCCATAAATTGGAATAGAATTTTTCAGATTGGCTTTATTGCACTATATCATTTTTCTAATTAATAATAAATACAAAAGAAAAAGAAAAAAATTAACATGCTTTCATGTGTGTATGTGCATGTATAAATGTGGCCTTTTAAAATTGTGCATTTTACAAATATGTCTTAAAGTTAAATCCCTACTACTTAATAACAAATGTATGTTCCCATTTAGAAGAAATGAGAAGCATATAATATGGAAGGTAAAAGTGACAATAGAAATATGAGTGTTAATAAAAACATCAGTTTTTTCATACATATGAAAATTTGTAGACTTTACGGGGTTATAAAGCTCTGCTTCTCCCATTGTATAGCTGTCCCCTTTTTAGATATTCCTTAGTTGGGTAGCTACTACTCTATGAAGCAGAATTTTAGAATGGAAGATTATTTTAGCATCATAGAATAACTGAAGTTATAATTACTTTCATGTATCTGTCCTGTTCACCAAGTTAGAAGTTGATTTAAAATAGCA